ATGATAAGATCTCAGCTCACTGCAACCTCTGCCTCCCAGATTCAAGCAATTCTCCTGCCTCAGCCTCCCAAGTAGCTGGCATTGCATGTGTGGGTCACCATGCCTGGCCAATTTTTGTATTTTTTGTACAGACGGGGTTTCACCATGTTGGCCAGGCTGCTCTCAAACTCCTGACCTCAGGTGATCGGTCCTCCTTGCCTCCCAAAGTATTGGGATTACAGGCATGAGCCACCACGCCTGGACTTGTTGCAATAAATCTCTTAATGTATATATCTCCTATTGGCTCTGTTTTTCTGTGGAACTCTTACTGATACAAATATTATGTTGGCTTGATTTCCATTCTATTTACTAGCGGAATGTGTTGTAACATCTCTAGGCTTTGCTTATCATTTGTAAATTAGAAACAATAATATTGACCACCATTAGCATGTTAGTGAGGATTAAATAATCATTTCTTTTTGCAATTGTTCGCTATGTTAAAGCAGGCTTTCTTTACTTCTAATTTACCAAAGTTATTATCAGGAATGGTTATAGAATATTATCAAATGCATTTTTAGCTTCTATTAGTATGATCATGAAGTTTTCTATTTTGATTTATAGATACCATAATAAGAGATGGGAAGTAAATCTGCTTTATGTTCCTAAGATAAAGCCAGTTGTTCGCAGTACATTCTTTCTTTCAGTATGCAACTAAATTCAACTTTTCTGATACTATATTTAGAATTTTCCATCTATGTTTTAAGTGAATTCATGTCATACATTCCTCAAGGATTGCCATCAAATTATGCTGGCTTAATAGAATAAATTGGGAAACTAGTCACATTTTTTGTTTTGTTTTGTTCCAGTAACTGAATGTTACCTCTGCAGTATCTACAGTTGGAATTTATTGATAATTTTTATGGTTACTATATGTGATCAATCTTTATAAATGTTTAATGGGCTCCAGAAAGGATAATACATTTCCTGTAGGGAATAAAATTTGGCTGTAACTATAGCTATAGCTATTCAACGTTCCTGTTTTATTCAGACCTTTATTTCAATTTATTTACTTTTGTTATTTGACTTGTCAAACTGCAAAACAGGTGCTCTTATTTTCTTCATGATGCACCACACCTATTTATTGATTTTGCCTTCTCTAACTGAGTGCTATTCTATTCATAATGGTTCATGATTAAAATTCTTTTGTTTTCTTTTTAATTGGCTTTTGTGAGTATTATCATGATTAAGATTCTTATAAAATTACCTTCTTTAAATAGAAAAACATATTTGCAAACTATTTATCTGACAAGCAGTTATAAGGAAATTGTAAGGAACTGAATCCAACAACAACAACCTGATTTAAAAATGGGCAAAAGATCTGATGAGGCATTTCTCAAAAGAAGACTTACAAATTCCCAACAGGTATGTTTTTTAAATGCTCAACATTATTAATCATCAGGGAAATGTAAATCAAAACCGCAAGGAGATATCACCTCACCCCGGTGAGAATGGCCATTATCAAAAAGACAAAAGATAGGTGTTGGCAACAATGTGGAGAAAAGGAAGCCCTTATACATTGGTGGGAATGTAAACTGGTACAACCATTGTGAAAAACAGAATACAGGTTCCTCAAAATATTAATAATAGAACTGCCATATGGTTCAGCAATCCCACTATGGAGTATACATCAAAAGGAAATGATGTTAGTATGTCAAAGAGTGATCTGTGCTCCCATGATTATCACAGCACCATCCACAACAGCCAAGATATGGAACCAACCTAAGTGTTTATCAATGGTTGAATGGATAAAGAACATGTGGTATACACACACTTACTGTACTCACCTATTTTCACACCATAGTTGACTCTAGGTAATTGAAACACTGCAAAGCAAAACTGTGTATACGGGAGGACTACTGTGCTGCGCAAAAAGTTGATCCAATAGGAGTAGAGAGTATAACGGTGGTTAGCAGAGGCTGGGATGGTTAGACAGGAGAGAGATTTGGTCAGTCATAATAATTATAGTTAGATAGAAGCAATGAATTTCAAGAATTCTATTGTACAGCAAGGTGACTACAGTTAAGGATGAAATATTGTATCCTTGAAAAACGTAAAGAGAGTAGATCTTATGTGCTCTCACCACCATTGCTATGTGAGGTAATGCATTTGTTAATTACTTAAATTTAACCATTCTACAATAAATACTCCGAAATGTCATGTTGTACATGATAAAAACATACAATGTTATCTGTTAATTTAAAATAAATAAATAATTTTGTAAATAAATCACCCTCTTTGTCTTGTTCATTTTTGAGGGGAGGAGTAAATTCTACCATGTCATATGGATGCTGAGTAAATATTTTTGTTTGCATTTAGTTATCATATCTTCACCTATCCTACTACTCCTAAACTTTCTGTGATTTCATTTTAGATAAATGTTTGATAAATAAAATATAAGTAGAATTTGTAGATATTCTGAAAATCTCGAGCTCTAATAGTGCAGATTAAGCTATTTATTTTTATTGTGAGTATGATATAGTTGGTATATATGTCCTCTTTTTAAAACATGTTTTTCCTTTTTCTTTCATTGCTATATATACTGTGTCTTTTCCTATATGGGTTGTGCTTCCCTTATATTTTCCAGTGTTTTTTTTTTAAAAAGCATTTATCCTATATTAGCATTTTTCTACTGGTTATCTGTTTTTCTTTTCTTTCTTTTTTTGACACGGAGATTTGCTCTTGTTGCCCAGGCTGGAGTGCAATGGCGTGATATCGGCTCACTGCTACCTCCGCCTCCTGAGTTCAAGCAATTTTCTGCCTTGGCTTCTTGAGTAGCTGGGATTACAGGCATGCGCCGCCACTACTCCTGGCTAATTTTGTATTTTTAGTAGAGATGAGGTTTCCCATGTTGGTCAGGCTGGTCTCAAACTCCTGACCTCTGATTAGCTTCAAGATAACTGTCGCTGGTTATAATGCATTCAAGGTCGGAAACTAGTACAAAGAATAGGAAAAACATCTGTCAGGGGCAACACAGCAGCTTTTTGAAAAATGTTTTCATCATTCAATGTGGCGATAATTTATTTACTCCTAGTCAATTGTGCAAAGAAAATACTGGTTCCTTGTTTTTCTGCAACACATCTAATCTGCATGAGCCTCACCTCCTCACCTGACAGGTTGCAGGGAATAACCAACATTTCATTAATGGTTTCTAGGTTTCTTTGGTGACACACTTGCCTTCAGGTAAATGCTCAGTATTTTTAATATTCCCTTCCTCAATGACAGAGATTCCTTGTCGCTTTCTCTTTTAACAAGGGAGTTAATCTCATAATGAGCCACTACCCTCATGAACTCATCTAAGCCCAGTTACTTTCCAAAGGCCCTATCTCCAAATACCATCCCATTGGGGGTTAGTGGCTTCTTCGATATATGCATTTTGTGGGGGGTGCAAAATGCATATATCTGCGTAGCCCACAGAACCTACCTACACTCTTGATATTTTCCACAAACTGTTGTAAACAAAAGACACTATTTTCAGTTTCTGTTGAATCATTCCTACAACCTGAACAAACTCTGCCCAATTCCATGGGTCAAATTCTGGACTACTATAACGGCAGGGCAGCAGGGACAAATAGCAGCGAAAATGACTTAAGTTTTACCCCTGAACTGATTAGGATGAGGTTCCAACTCAACCACTGATAGCAAGACCTGAGTTTTCTCGTTTGCAAAAAGGGACTTACAAGTATTCTTTTGTCATTATGTGCCAAGTATTTTACACAAAAGATAAAATGCCCAAAAATAAATCAAAATAGAACAGCTGTCCTTCATGGACAACTTTTATTTTTTGCTGGATTCTGACTGATTTCCTAAGAGCTCAGAGCTCCAGAGAGCAATCAGAGGTGCATTTTTTTAAATCATGGATTATAGAACTTTACAATTTGAAAACCAGAGTCCAATCTTCTTGTTTTGAGGTTTCACAACTAATCAGAGTCAGATATAGATTAGAAAAACTCTGGTGTATTGTTCCTTCTCTGCAAACACATCTGTTCTAAAAGAAGCAAGTGTGATCCTGTCCTGCACAGACCTTTACTTACAGCATTTTTTTCTGCCCATGGCTCTCAAATCAGGGATTTTGCTGGTGCAACAGATGGACAAAGAGATGAAATTCAAAATAGCCTTGGTATTTGGGAGGGAGGAAAATGTATGTGCTGGGCTTCAGGGTTTTTTCCTGAAACTGGCCCCTATGCGGCAGGAAGTTCCTTCCCTTTCCTGGGTTCTCCCCTGAATTCCAGATTTAGTCAAATTTATTTCTCCTCAGGGTCCTTTTAGTTTCTGCTTAATGAGACCGGGTGTTGCTGAGTGTTTGATTGACACTTGGTTATGTGCAGCCTGTATTCATCTTCCTGAGAAAGGACATTGCACAAGAAAGGATTGCCAGTGGCAACCGTGATGGCATTTCTGAGGGCATTCCCAGCAGCTCTGTTCCCCATCCCAGTGGAAGGAAACTCCACACTGACCAGCGGATGGAGGGATGGAGGGAGGCGTGACGCCCAGAGCAATTATCATATCCCTATGCACAGAGGCCTTGGGTTCTTTTCAGTCAACATTAGACCTGCTCACTTTTTACCCACATACAGTTCTCCTGATTTCTAAGCCACCTGAGCCAAGTCTAGGCTGGAGGAAAATACTTCTAAAGTAAAATCAGATCAGTTGCAAAGGAGTTGTAACACCTCGATTAGCTTCCTGGATCAAATAACATTTCCATGTCAGATTCAGGCACCCGAACTGATTTCTTTGCTGGAGTCCCCCAGCTAAGAAATGCAAATCTCTGGGCTGCATATAGCAAGGTCCCAAGCAATGCCCTTGGCGGCTTAGCCAGGACACAGTGACTTGGAATACAGCTTGCTAAGCGTGTGGCCTGGCCAGGATGGTGTAACTGGCAAGCTAGCTGGAACAAGTTCTTCTGCTTCAGGCCAGTGAATATTTATGTCAGGCCAAGAGTAAAGAAAATGGATTTCACTCACTTTGTATCCTCTGTATTGCCTGGGGAGCGGTGGCAAGTGAAAGCAGTTTTTTGTGTAGGTAGCAGTTCTGGTAGCTCCGGCTAAACTTGCTGCCTGTGCCCTCCCTTTCTGTCCACCTCTCCTTTCCTCTTCAGGACAGAACTCTGCACACTGCACATAAATATGCAGGACAGGACACATCCCCTGGTTTCAAGTGGCTCTCGATTTTAATAAAACTGGATGGTCCTTCAAATTCAAGCTTTAAAAACCCTCACATTGAAAAGAAAAAATTCACACACTTTCATAGAAGTATAATCGACACAAAATAATCACATGTGATTAAGTGTACAGTTTGATAAGATTTTTTCTTTTATTTTTAGTTGACACATAATGGTACATATTTATAGGATACAGAGTGATCTTTTAGTACATGTATACAATGTGCAATTTTCAAATCAGGGTAATCAGCATATTTATAACCTCAAATATTGATCATTTTTTGGTGCACATTCAAAACCCTGTCTTCTGGTTTTTTGAAAATATACAATAAATTATTATTTGTAGTCACCCTATAGTGCTATAGAACACAAACTTTTTCCTTCTATCTGCCTGTAATTTCCTGTCTGCTAATCACCCTCTCTCTATCCTTCCCTCCCTCCTATTCTTCTCAGCCTCTGATAACCACAGTTCTGTTCTCTACTTCTATGAGCTCAATTTTTTTTAGCTCCCACATAGGAGAAAGAATGTGTGGTATTTGTCTTTCTGTGCTCGACTTATTTCATTTAACATAATGTCCTCTAGGCTCATCCATGTTGCTGCAAATGACAGGATTTCATTCTTTTTTATGGTTGAATCGTCTTCCATTGTATATATCTACCACATTTTCTTTTCTTATTTTTTGAGGTGGAGTCTCGCTCTGTTACCCAGTGGTGCAATCTCGGGTCACTGCAACCTCCACCTCCCAGGTTCAAGCATTTTTCGTGTCTCAGCCTCCCCAGTAGCTGGGATTATAGGCATGTGCCACCATGTCCAGCTAATTTTTTTTTTTTTAATTTTTAGTAGAGACGAAGTTTCACCATGTTGGTCAGGCTGGTCTCAAACTCCTGACCTCAGGTGATCTGCCCACCTTGGCCTCCCAAAGTACTGGGATTAAAGGCGTGAGCCACCCACCTGGTCCCACATTTTCTTTATCCATTCATCTTTTTTTTTTAAATTATACTTTAAGTTCTGGGGTACATGTGCAGAATGTTGCAGGTTTGTTACATAGGTATATGCATGTGCTATGGTGGTTTGCTACATCCATCCCCCTGTCACCTACATTAGATATTTCTCCTAATATTAGCCCTCCCCAATCCCCCCCACCAGCTGCTGTCCCTCTGCTAGCCCTCCAACGCTCCAACAGGCCCTGGTGTGTGATGTTCCCCTCCCTGTGTCCATGTGTTCTCATTGTTCAACACCCACTTGTGAGTGAGAACATGCAGTGTTTGGTTTTCTGTTCTTGTGTCAGTTTGCTGAGAATGATTGTTTCCAGCTTCATCCATGTCCCTGCAAAGGACATGAACTCATCCTTTTTGTGGCTACGTAGTATTCCATGGTGTATATGTGCCACGTTTTCTTTATCCAGTTTATCTTTGATGGGCATTTGGGTTGGTTCCAAGACTTTGCTATTGTGAACGGTGCCAAAATAAACATATGTGTGCATGTGTCTTTATAGTTGAATGTTTTATAATCCTTTGACATTCATCTGTTGATGAGCATTTATGTTGATTCCATATCTTGCTATTGTAAATAGTGCTGCAATAAACATACGGGTGCAGATATCTCTTTGATATACTCATTTCCTTTGGGTAAATACTCAGTGGTGAGATTGCTGATTATATGGTAGTTCTATTTTTAGTTGTTTGAAGAACATTTTACTGTTTCCTATTTGGTTTGTGCAAAAGTAATTGCAATTTTTGTCATTACTTTTAATTGTGGTTTTTGCCATTAAAAGTAATGACAAAAATGCAATAGTTATTATATCATAACAGTATAACAGCTATACTAATTTACATTCCCTCCAACAGTGTATAAGAGTTCCCCTTTTCTCCCAGTTGTCACCAGCATTTGTTATTTTTTGTCTTTTTAATAATTGCCATCCTAACTGGGGTGAGATTATATCTCACTGTAGTTGTTTTTTGCCTTTTCCTCAAGGATTAGTGAGGGTGTGCATTTTCTCACATACTTGTTGGCCATTTGTATGTTTTCTTTTGAGAAATGCATAGGCAGAGCCTTTGCCAGTTTTTGGACGGGATGTTTTTTTTTCTGGATGTTCAGTTGTTTGAATTTCGTGTATATTCTAGATATTAGTTCCTTGTTGGGTGAATAGTTTGCAAATGTTTACTCCCATCCTACAGGTCGCTGCTTCATTCTGTTCTTTCTTTTCTGTGCAGAAAGAATCGTTAGTTTGTATTTTTCAAAGACTTGGTCCATTTTATCTAAGTTGTTGCATTTATTGTAATAAAATTGCTCATGATATTTCCTTATTATTTTTAAAAGTCTGTAGAATTTGAGGTGCAGTCATCTCTTTGATTTCTAATATGAATGATATTTGTTTTCTCTACTTTCCCCCTGATCTTTCTAGGTTGAGATTCATTAGTTTTATTATTTATTCATCAATGTTTATTTATCTTCTCAAGCAAGAGTTGTTGCTTTCATTGCTTTTCTCTATTGCTTTTCTGCTGCATATTTGTTGATTTTTGCTTTGATATTTATTATTACTTCCTTCTGCTTTACTTCCTTGCTTTAATTTGCTCTTTCTTAAATTTCTTAAGGTGCAAGTTGAAGTCACTGATTCGGAAACATTCTTCCTTCTAATACAGATGACTGCTGCTATACTTACATCTCTCCGTTCTAGCTGCATCCCACAATGGAATTCAATTAGAAGTCGGTATAATATAAATCCTTTGTATAATATAGTTCTCTTAAATATATACAGATTTGTTTTATTGCTCAGAATATGGTCTACTTTGATAAGTGCTCTATGTGCACTTGGAAATACTGTGTATTCTGTTGTTATTGTGTGGAGTGTTGTATAAATACCAATTAGGACAAGTTGACAGATACTGTTGTTCAAGAGGTCTATATCTTTTTTATTTACAGTCTGTTTTTCCCATCAATTATTGAGAGACAGACATTGAAATCTGACAATTATGAATTAAATATTTTTCTCTTTGTAGTTATGTCAGTTTTTGTTTCATGTATTTTTGAAGCTCTGTTATTAGATGTGTACAGTTTTGGAATTGTTATGTTCTCTAGACCCATTTATCCTTATGTAATGATCTTTTCTATCCCTGACAGTATTCTTTGCTGTTAAATCTACCATCTAATATTAAAATAGCCACACAAGCTTTATTTTGATTAATGCTAACATAATATATCTTTTCCCATTTATTTAAATTTCACATTGTTGCTATAACAAATTATCAAAAACTTAGAGACTTAAAAACAACATAATTATCAAAAATAAGTCTCACGGGGCTAAAGTCAAAACGCCATTAGGGTTGGTTTTTTGTGGAGGCTCTGTGGAAAATGCATTTCTTTGCTTTTTTTTTTTTTTTTTGAGACAGAGTTTTGCTCTTGTTACCCAGGCTGGAGTGCAATGGCACAATCTCGGCTCACCGCAGCCTCTGCCTCCTGGGTTCAAGCAATTCTCCTGCCTCAGCCTCCTGAGTAGCTGGGATTACATGCCCAGCTAATGTTTTGTATTTTTAGTAGAGACGGGGTTTCATCATGTTGACCAGGATGATCTCCGTCTCTTGACCTCATGATCCACCCGCCTCAGCCTCCCAAAGTGCTGGGATTACAGGCGTGAGCCACCGTGCCCGGCCTCTTTGCTTTTTCTAGATTCTGGAGGCCTCGGCTCATGGGCCTTTTCCTCCACATTTAAAGCCAGCAGCATAGCCCCATTACAGGGAGACATGGGAGGGCTCAGAGTGAGTGGTAGCTGTGGCATGACCACGCTCTGTGTTTCATAAGAAATTAAAGCATTGTACAAAAACTAGGTGGTGTTACTCTATTTACTCATGAAGGCATCAGGGAACATTCAGCCTGGAGAAGCAAAGACTCAACAGGACAGAATGATTATACTGAACTATCTGAAGAACTTTGAAATAAAAGATAGAAGTATGTGTGTTGATGACTAGCAAGACCTAACCCTTTCTTGTCCCATGTGGGTGCTGCATATACAATCACATGTGACCCACAGTTACTGGGAGAGGACAAATCCCATGTGCATGTCACCATCAGTCATTCTGTCTGGGAGAAGAAAGGTGGAAACACACAGATACAAAGAACAGAACCCCCAGTCTTGGGCATGAGGCTGAGGAGGGTGTCTAGGGGTGTCGCTCTTGGTGTCCTGCCCATGTCCCCTCTGGCCTCACTCTTGTAGTTCCAGACTTCTCATACCCTAGGGCTTTCTTTCAGCAGGTGAGAGGTGTCTGAAGATTAGTTCCATTTCCACTACCCAGTAGTCCTCAACCAGGGACTGATGAAAGCTGGTGTACAGATTTTTCGGCTCCCTTGCCCCTGGGGCTTGATAACTCAGAGGCACTGATTCTAACTGACTCCTTGTGTTTCCAAATGGATTCATGATCCAGTTACAGCAGATATTAGCTGTACACCATTTATTCATTGCCTCCTCTTTGTTTATTTCCTCTTTTCTCCTCCAGTGTTCCATGGGATCACCTGCCTCCAAAACTTCTCATACTTGAGTCCTTATATCAGGATCTGCAACTGAATTAAACAGGTAAGGCAAAGAGGATAGGGCTAGAATAAAAACTCACATTTCATACACAGTTCCAGTAAACCCAGAACATCGGAAAGATAGTTGAAAATCCCCCTACCCAGTAAAGCTCCGGAACTAAACTGTAATGGGGTTACTGGCAAGAATAACGGTTTTTTAAAATGTCCCTGACGAGAGGGATATGGGACCTTTAAAGGAAAAAATAAAATACTCTGCAAATCACAATGAAATGCTTGCTCAGGAACATAAAACAGATGCTCTAGAAACCCTATCAGTAAGGCTATGAGTCCAGAGCACATTGGTGATTCCAGCCTTGTGCTTTATTTGCTGGCAATAGACTTGCCAGAGCTCCTGGGGTTGCCATAGTATTTGTA